TTGCGATTTTGACGTCCGGGAAGGGGGGAGCCCATTTGGACGAGGACCGAACAGGACATCCGATCGACCCCAAATTAGCCTATTCATAAGTATGGTTTGCCCCCCAGAGGGGGGTTCCGGGTTTATTGTTAGGGGGAAGGGACTAACAGTCATTTGGGTGTTCAGCCAAATCAATTTCTTGTCGAACTTAGTTATAGCCTTCAAACAATACTTGCAGACTTTATTTCAATACTTACCGGGCCAACCCCACTTGAGGGACTAAGTTTCCATCACAAGCTACGACGATCCGAACACAGCACGTCCGGAAAAGTATGAATGAGATTTGATTGACAATGCGGCTCGGTTTTGGAAAATACTTGATTCGAAAAAGGTATTAACCGTCGGATTCGGGACTGAATCCAAAACGGGTGCGTCGTTGTTGGACCCGCAAAATGGTGGGTTGTCCGCTGGTTCGCCTTTGAAACTGCCAACCATGGGGTACCTTCAAAAAAAGACAAACCCAGAACAGATGGCGGCGTGATTTTGCACTACCAAGTAAGCTTAGATGTCCAACCTGACAACACACCAAAACCTCACTTGAGCCACAATCAAAACCTGGTAGATGAAGGCTAGTACTGCATATTCCCAGACATAAGTAGGTGTGGATATGCGCCTTCTTGATTCTTTATAGGGAACGTAAGAGTACCAGGTTTTTATTACAGTATCATGTTGTTCTTGTTGACCAGGCAATGCTTAAAGTGGGTCCCATGGTTGTCAAACGCTTCACCCTCCCCTCTGTTGGGAGGAACAAGGGGAAGGACCTGCCAGGCGCGCAGATTCACATACGCACAGATTCACCCTTCCATGTTTAGGCTTTGAAACGCACTATTGTGTGGTTTTTGCAGCTTGTGAGTCTTAAGAAAGTGAGTACACCATCAGAGCCAGGGCATTGTTTAAATTGTCTTTATCATCACCTTTAAAACAAGGCAGACTAAATTATTGTTGGTTTCTTTGGTTTTCCCTGTAGGTTGCTTTTGGTGGAGGGTGGTTTCGTTAAAATCACGTACGAAACCACTCGGCCATTGGAGGTTGGATGGGTCACATGCCGACCTTGCGTTGCATGGCACCAGTCTTGCACGCTGCATGGCAAAGCAGGAACCCGTCAATTGCCGGAATACTATATGAGTTTGTGGGTGACCTTTACTTGTTTAACTCACATCCTTTGCGACTGCCAGTGTTTCACAGATATTCGATTCAGCACAGCTTGCTTCCCGGCTCCAGAATCAGAAGCAGGCAATTCCACAGCGGATTGCAATAATGTTTGAACAGTTGTTGGCACAGCGCAGACTCATGTGCACTGCACAGGGCATTCACCGGCGTGCCAGGAAATCTTGCCAGGGCATGAAGCAAGCTTTACGCTTTTTTGTTGGCCCAATTCGTTGACGAGAAGTTCCAGCTTTTCAGGCCGTCAAATATGACCCTGCTTCCAGCTACCAAGTTGGCTTGAAGCACTTGCTCGGTCCGGCTGGTCTCTGAACAACCCGGGTCTGAAGGGAGATCGTGCAGGTCAAAAGCTTTTTCCATCCCATTGAACCTGGCAGACGATTTGGAAACTCGCCAGGTGCACTCAGCATGGCCCGCAGGAGTTACCCTCGACCTCATCAGTTAAGGAGGAAGCCACAGAGGAAGCCCAGGAGAGCAAAACGGAGATCTCGGCGTGTGCCAAGGCTGAGACCAATACCGAGGAGAATGAGAATGAGAATGAGACACAGAAGCTCGGTCTCCGACTCAACTCAACTTTTTCAGGGGTTTTGATCCGAAAGGCTTCACATAAACGGGGTGAGAGGAGAATGAGGAGAATGAGACACAGAACCCTTGACTTAACTCAACTTTTTCAGGGCTCCAAGAAAGGAACCCATTGAGCTGATTTTGCTTAGGTCTACCTTTCATGGCCCAAAAGTCAAGAACCTCGCCACATTGAAAACCCACGGCTTTTGTAGCCGTATGACATGTCTTGCGTAAAAGCAACATTTTTTGTTGTTTGTTTTTTGTTTCCGGCAAAAAAACGTGGTCAACTCTCTCTTTTTCCGGATGCATGTGGCCAAGGAGCGTAGTGAGCGCTGTTAGCGCTGAGAAGACCGACGTCAAGAGCGAGCGAAGCACCGCTTCCGCCGCTTCTCGCGCGTCACGTCCGCCGGGCCCTGCCCCGGCGAGCCGTCGGCCACGTCCCGGCCGTTCCGGCTGACGCCGACTTTTCTGGGGCTGATGGTTATGCCTTTTTGGGGTCTCAAGAAAACAAATTAAGTGGTTATGCCAATGTTTCATCCCACCAATTTGGGTGAAATTTCCGACCCCTTATGGCACAGCCCTGATTTTCTAGGCTTCTACGACCACTATGGTAGGTTGCCACAGCCAGGGTGTGCTCCAAGTTGTTTTTAATTTGTCATGGCCGACATAACATATAATCTGATATGGTGTTTCTGGTACCCCAGATGTGGACCAATAGTTGAGTTCTCAGATATTGGTTTCCGTCGGTTACCTACAATAATGGTAACTGGAAGCACTGGGAGCGACGCTTTCCTGCACTTGACAAAAAGCTTCCAAGCTGCAACGCTGCGCGTGCGCACCGGGTTTTCTTGCAGGCCGAAGAAACCAAGATGTCTCCACAAAAAGGTTCAGGTTGCAACCATTCTGATTCACGCTTTGCGATTCTTGCAGAATGAGTTGCGTTAAGTGTGTTTTCCTGCCTTTCCCATGCCTTGCTTTCTTTGTTTCCCTTGCTTGTCCTTGTCTTCTCTTGCGTTTCCTTACTTCCCCTTGCGTTTCCTCGCTTCCCATTGCTTTCCCAATTTTTTCCTTGGTTTCCGCTGCTATCCTTGCTTTTCCCGTGCTTTCCCTCGCTTTTCCCTGCTTTCACTTTGCACCCACGGATCATGGCAGGCGCTTTCCGTAGCTGGTTTGCACATCATGTCTACTGCGCGGGTCAGATGGGAGCAACCCGAGGGGTCGTCCCAAGTTTGACAGAAGTGTGCGCTGAAAGTTCGCTCGTTGGAAACCAGGGTTGTGGGATCGCTCGGGGTGTATCCAACCACTTCTGTGATATCTTCGGGAATCTCCCGCTTTGTATGGGGGTTAGTGTTTGGGAAGCCCTTTCTGTTGTATCACAGAAGTGGTCATTTCCCACAGCCCTGTTGGAAACCTGGCTTATGGCCTACTTAACTCTCCGGCGAACCGAGGCGAACCGAACACCCACTTACAATGTCAGTCTGTCTCCAATCCAGGGAACCCCAATTGATATGGGTGACTTCCCTTTGGTTTTCGTTGAAACCACCCCCAACCAAGGTACACAACCCCTTGATTGTTCGGCCAAGTTAGTACGTGGTTGGCACCCTAGGTTGCATCCCACTTATGAGTCAGTTGGGCCGGTTGTAGTAGGTTATAATGTTGACCCCGGATTTTTAAACCCCCTGTTTATCAATATGGGGGTGTTCCTGGTTTTAGCGAGGATTCATCACTTTTGGATGGAACACCCCCATATTAATAAACGGGGGTGTATTAATCCGGGGTCAACATAAAACTAGGTTACTAACCACTTACTAACTTGGCCGAGCATCCAAAACCATGTCTCTTTTTCAGTGGCACAGTCGCTTTTCAGTTGTCGCTCGGGGCGCTGCCTGGCAAAAGGCTTCCCTTTGCCATCTGCATCCTCTGGGGCCCCTTGAGCGATGTGACGACCATTAACCCCGCTTGATATTCTGGTGATATATAGACCAAAGTTCCACATTTGATTCTACCAGGTCCAAAGAGCTCAAACGAAGCTGCTTGAGCTTTCGGCTGTCTTGGACTTTTCAGGTGTTTTTTTTTAGGAACTCTGTGTCTAAAGATAGCCCCAAAAGGCTTCAGAGCCTGAAACATGAGAGAGAGAGAGAGAAAAAAAAAAACAAAAACAAGTGTCAACCCCCTCCGCTTTGTTGTTTTGGAGCCTAAGATCATTTCCACACACAGCTACTATGGAAAGGGTCACAGATCCACACTTTTTTTTTCAATCGGGGCCTGGGGCTAGGGGATTGTTTGTTATTATTATTATTTGTTTTTGTCGTTGGGCTGTCCCTATATGCTTCCAAAGACCATTAAAAGTAACGCATACTCGGCCAGTCAAGTATTGCCTTCGACCATCTTTCCCTTTAATGGTCGAGGGACATAACCAGGAGGTGGTTTGCGCAGTTTATGGCCTAGACACATAAAAGTATGTTCGAGGACGCCCAGGGCTGTTATTTTACAATCCTTTTGAAGAAAAGCACCTGGATCCAATTATTGTGCTTGCATGACCGTTTTCACCACGTACGCCAAACATTGGTTGAGATCGGCGCCGAACATTTCGCAGTTCTTGTGTAGCATGGGCGGTGAGCTGGCCTGCCGATATGGCCAGACCTTCATGTGGGTCTGTCTTCCTTTTGGTGGTTTTAAAGGGAAAACCAGAGGAACACCACCAAAAGTAGTGGGGTCGGATTCCCAAAGAAAGACGCACACAGGTAGTCTATTGAAATATCGTCCCCGCATCACCAGATCGCCCCGCACTGTCGGGTTCAGTGTCAAAAGGAACCTCAGACCTCCAGTGGTGGTTGGGATTTGAACCCAGCTCCTTTTGAAACGAAATGGGGAAGGTAACGTCTAAACGGCCAAGCCTAGCCGGTTGGAAAGAAATCCGGTGCCTTCTCTCTATGGAAATCCACCGGTGCTTTAAGCAGTGTTTGCCCGGTTTTTTCTCAGTTCCCGCCCCGGAGGTCCTTTTGTTTCCCTTCCGGAGGAAAAATCAGCTGCCACCTAAATGGGTGTGGCTTGACACAAGCAAAATGGCCTCGGTGTTCCCTTCGGTTTCCCTTGGAAGCAACCCCAAGCGTACACCCCAGAAGTTGGCCAGACCCAAATCTTGCAAAGCTGAGGTGACCCTGCCACTTGAATTGGTGAAAGGGCTCGGACGCAAAAGCCTCGAAGGGATTGAGAAGGGATGGGGCGTGTAGGTGTACTTGCCTGCAGAGATTGCCTTTCTGACCGGTCTGGATGATGAATGGAAGTCCGACAAGGACACGAATCGGCCACGAATCGGCCACTGATAAAAATCCTTGCCGGCCGGAAAAACATGCCGGTTTGTTGCCTGTTTGGTTTTGCTTCAATTTTCGTCCAAACAGCGGAACGCAAACTGCAATTTTTAGGGGACTCTTCTCGTCTCGAAGTCCCCAATGCGACCATGGTTCAGTGAAAAGAAGGCTAGACAAGTTGCTCAAACAAGGGGACTTTGGTGAGTCAACGCCAAAAAGTCTGGGCCAAACTCTGGAGCACAACAAGCAAGATGCTGAGAGAGTTGGTCGTATTTGGTAAGTTGTAACCTGCAAAATATGTTTCGAGCCTCCAACCGACATGACCGTGTTGAGAAAAGGGGATCCTCCTCTGAGAGCGTCCAATCACTTGGAACGGCAATCCTGCATCAAAGTGTCATCAAAGTTGTTCAAATGTTTGTAAATGGAATGTTGGTCTTCTGGCTGTGCACCACTGAATGGGCGAGACTTAGACGCGAACTTTAAATTTCAGGCAGGACTCACGACATCTCCCACAAAAGGCAGAGGAGACTCACTACACATGGTGGCTCCCAGCCATCCCCTTAACTTTCTTTTAGTGTTTAGTGATAGTTTCCATTTAACCCACTAAAACTTAAGCTTTTAGCGGGGGATCTGAGGGCAGCCTACGTATCCCACCAAAAACCAGTGGACAAGCCTGACATGTCCAAGCCCAGAGGACAAGCCGCAAAGAGATCAACCAAAAGCCAGGCGAGCTGTAAATGGGTGTCGTTTTTTGGATTGGGACCCCTAGAATGGTTTCCCTTAACCACCACAACAAGGGTAGCAACTAAAAAAAGACAGGCCCATTTCACACCGGAAATGTTATCAATGGACTCCTATGAAAGGAACCGAGTCACTATGAGGTCGCTCCTTCCCCCCTCTCAAACATTTTTTAGGATTTGGACCCCCGGAATGGCTTCGGTTTTGCTTTCGGTTTCGCTATGAAACCACCATGAAAAGGGGTACCTGGAGTCTCCATGCCCCTTGCCAAATGGGTTCATGACCCCATCATTTTGGGTAATGGCCCCATTTTTTGAGGGTCATGGAGACTCCAGGCAGCAACTCAAAAAAGCAACGCCCAAATGTTCCATGAGAGCTTCCTAGGCCCCCAGTAGTGCCCTTTCTCACCCCTTTTTTGTTGGGTTCCCCAACTAAAATAGTCAAAGAAGCCAAAAAGGGATAGACAAAGAACAAAACTCGGGTACCAACTTCTTCTAAGCTCTCTCAAAAACCTCGCTTCGTATCGATCCAGGACTTTTCCCAGAGCCTCTGGCAAGGCCTGCGGCACACGCCGCGGGAGCATTGGAGCTTGCAGGCGCCGGTGAGAAGTTGGAAGTTGGGTTCCCCACTCCCGGGGGGTTCCTTTCAGCAATTGGTGCCCTTTCTCACCAAAACTTGTTTGGTTGGGAGGGTAAATAGACAGAAAACAGTTGGCACCCTTTCTCCATCTAGGTGCCCTTTCTCACCAAAACCTTTCTGGTTGGGAGATCGGGACACTAAAATAGACAAAACGGGAAAAAGTTGGTACCCTTATTCTACCCTCTCTACTGGAGGACCTGGAATGGGAGCCCGGATGAAACCCCAGTTTAGTAATAGGGTGTCTCTGGTTTAGGATGAGATCACTATTGGAGGGCTACATCCCCCTAGTAGGATGGGTTTATTCATCCGAGGTCGACTTTAGATCCTATATGCGGGTTTGTAAAACCAGATGTGAGCTAACCCACAATATGAATTTGGGGGGGAGGCAATGGCATCGAGGAGAGTTTAGCGACCCCGAAACTCGGATTTGGGGCGGCATGTTCCATGTCTTAGAGTCTTGTTTGCCGTTTGGGTGCCTTGCTGGTGCTCGCACATCTTGTGGAGTTATGTTTCACCTTTCATCGCAACATTGATGGACATTGACACGGCTTGCACCACTGCCCACCCATTTCCTCCTCACTACACTGGTAGCTATGGTTTGCTTCAACTACAGGGCGAGTCTCCCAAATTCAAAAGGTATGGTCACGTGAGCAACTGCCAACACTAGTAATCTATTGTTACTCCGTGGACGAGAAGGGCCCCAATAGCTATTGAATTGTTTTTGATACCATGTCACCCAAAAACTTCCCTTGCCGAATCCTTCGCAATTTTCCCAGACCCAGAAACTCATACCACATCCGCAAGCACAAGGTCAACGAGGTCAAACGGGTTCGCGTTGACCCCCAGAGTCCCCGGAAAGTGTTCAAGAATGATAGCCACATGATCCCCCCAGTTTTTGGTATAAAGGGACGCCCCCAGGTTGACTGTGTGCTAAGTTGCGCACAAGGAGCTTTCACTCACTTTCTCAATTTATCATTTTTCTCAATTTTCTATTTTTCCTCAATTTCTATATTGCCCACAATGAACTCCTTCTCAATTTCTCCATGTTTCCAGAACTTTTGCCTAGCATTCTTCTACTCAGCCAAGGGCTTCATCATGGGTTCCCATGAAGGCCGCACGCAGGAGTTGTGCGGATGAGTCTTTTTGGAGGCGATCTTGTTTGGCTGGTCTTAAAGCTAGGTCCCCCAGTGCCCTTGCTCGGTCCTTTTTTGGGGGAGGGTTCAGTTCCCCTACTAGAATAAACTACAGAAAAAAAGTTGGTACCCTTATTCTAACCTCTCTACTGGAGGACCTAGAAAGGGAGCCAACGGGAAATCAACAGAACACGGGATTCAACTTTTGCGACCAACATACCCCTCTCTTGCGGGCTTGCGCACGTTGATTGTTGTGACAAAAACGGGAAGGGGTTCCCTATCCAAATGCCGCTGGCCCTTCTCTCAGAGGCAGAGCTCACGATTTGGTTTCCATTGGAATTCAGTCGCATTGAGGGTAGAACCTGCGGTGTGCAGCCATCTCGAGTGGAGAACATTGTAACATGAACCACCTTTTGGGGGGTTGTAGGCAGCAAACAAAAGGCGCTTTTGGGGGGTGTAGGCAGCCAACAAAAAAGGCTCACGAGAAGACGCTCGGTTTTGCGGTTTGCGGTTTGGGGCGGGACCTACCTCGGCTGCATAAAGCAGGATACATCGCTAGAAAACGGTTTGGATGCGCGTTTTGGTGGATTTCACCTGTTCTTTCCCCTGTAGGTTCTTATTTAGTACTCTGTTAATACTTTGTTAATATCCTAGAGTCGGGTGGTTCCACAAAAGCCGCATCCAAACCGTTTTCTGGAACATCGTTTGGCTCGGGTTTCCCGAACGGGATGTTTGCCTTTGGATTCCCTGCAACGCCGCCCCTAAAAAGTGGTACGCTCTCAAGAACATTGACTGTCCTGTGGCAGACAACAGGGTGTTTTGATATGGCCTGAGGTTTAACCGATTCTTGTTGGAAGCCTTGCAGAGGTGCTATAATTACTGAACCGAAGGCGCTGTGGCCAACAGGGGCTGGACTTATTTGTTCTTTGCCAGACTGACAATGGTGGAAGCACTGAACACTTGAGGCACAAGCAAACGCTGCATAGGTTCAATTTAAGGGACAGCCTCAATGAGGTGCTGCGAATCCCAGGTTGTGATTTACCTGGTGGTCAAAAGTATGGCCCCTTTCGGATGTCAAAAGGGGCCTCTAATTTTGACAAGGCTTCCACTGCTTCCTTCCCGGATTCAGGTTTGAGCCATTCACTTGAAAAGTGTGCGGCAGCGCCACGGGCCGTCACATACATGGGTTTCCATGAATCCCGTTGGAAAGCCGTGTCAACTCTGCTAACGCCATGTTTGGCTATGGGGTCCAAAATGATGTCACAGTTGCCCTCCAACGATCATGATGTATTTGGGCTTTAAAGTGCCCCACCAGCCAATTCTAGCTTTCAAGGCCCTCAAACTGGCCAGTGCAGAAGTGCAGCGGAGCATTTCTGCGCTGAATCTTGAATTGAAACAGACGGCCAATATTTGCCAATACCACCTCAGTTTTGCTTGTTTTTCCCCTTGTCCAGGAACAGCTCAAAAAATATACGCCGATGGGAGTCGACCTCCAAAAAGTGTTGGCTTCCCTTGTGTTTTCGCTCGGAAGCATCCCCAACCCCACAAAATGACACTCGAAGAAAAGGATGATTCTCGGGGTTCCAATCTCAAGAACGACACAAATCCATATACCTTGTCTCATAGGGGAGCCCCTTTTTTTCTAAAACAATATAAACATGTACATATATAAATATATATATATATATGTACCCCCTTTCACCTAAACCAAACCACCCTGCAACCCCTCCTTAACCCCAACCCTAAGCCTAAATCAACCCAAACCCCAAACCCACCCGGTTCCCACCGCAAACCAACCCTGAACCAACCCTAAACCAACCCACCAAGCCTAAACCAACTCCAAACCACACCCCAACCACCCAACCACCCAACCACCCAACCACCCAACCACCCAACCACCCAACCACCCAACCACCCCACCACCCCACCACCCCACCACCCCACCACCCCACCACCCCACCACCCCACCAGGGGGGTTGGGGTGGGGGGTTCACGGCCTGGAACATATATATATATGTACATGTATTATTGGTACATAGCTGGAAAGTGCATGTTACATGCATTTTTACAGCAACGCCTTTCTGCTTTGAACAACAACCTGAGTATTCCGGGGGCGTACCATATATATTTGTATGGTAGGGCCCCCCAAGCACTGTAAATTTCCAATGTAGTTTGTTTTTTCTTCGGGGGGGGGGCTTAGCAAATTATATATATATATATACACGCATGTATGCATATATATATAGTATATAATTTCAGCAGGGCGGCTTTTTCATGTTCATCGCCAGGCGCGGCTTCTGAGGGGTCTCACACAGGACCAGTCGCCCTTGCGTGCCACGGCTAAAGGGGCTGCCGATGAGGTGTCCGCAGGTTTTGAGGGCATTGTCTGAGGCTTTGTTTGTCTTTTCCGTGTTCTTCCTCTTTTCTTTTCTTTTTGGGCGGGGTGGGGTGGGGTTATAAGCAAACTACGTCTCCAGATCTTGAGGTAATAACTGTATGACTGACAAAATCGAGATTAGCTTCATCTCCAGCTAGCGAAGATAGAACACCTTGATATCTATCTATCGTTTTGAGGGTCCATTCCAACGGCTCCTTAAAGAGAATATTTTCTGGCTTTGAAGTTTGCTTTTGTTGTTGTCGTTGTTGCTTGCTTGCTTGCTTGCTTGCTTGCTTGCTTGCTTGCTTGCCTGCCTGCCTGCCTGCCTGCCTGCCTGCCTGCTTGCTTGCTTGCTTGCTTGCTTGCTTTTTTGTTTGTTTGCTTTTTTGTTTGTTTTTTTTGGGGGGGGATTTTGGCACAAACCCATTTGGCTATGATGGTTGATGTTGCACGCCTTCCGAAAGGCTTGATGTAAGTCCAGAAGGTCCCAGAACTCGGATTCTGGTGTGGAATCTTCGGAGACTGATCAGGGCTCCTTAAAAGATCTCCATTTTGCAACCATTGGAAACATGTGGCTTTTTCAACACCAAAATTCTGGGGAACCACCATTTACAAGTTGCAATGTTCAGGTGGATTCACTGCATCCGGATCCCTGCTGATGCAAATCCGCCATGGCCAAGGCCAACTCTCGGGCTTGGACGCTTGGACTCTAAAGTGGAGGGTGGCTCCGATATTCAAAACTTGGTGAACCGTTCGCAGCCATCCGGCTTCTTAGCTTTTTAGCAACTTTTAGTGTTTTTTTGTGGTTAGATTTCCGAATTTAACCCACTCAAAGTTTGCCACTTCTAGCAGGGGATCAGAAAACGGGCATTTAGTCCCGAAACAGGGACAGAGAGAGAGAGAGAGAGAGAGAGAGAGAGAGAGAGCGAGAGAGAGAGAGAGAGACATAGATGTATATATATATATATATATATGTAATTTCCCCCCTCCTCCGCCCCGCTACTCCTTAAGTTTTCGACGGGCTTTGGTTTCCTGCCTATTCCACTTCCCAAGTAGGTCGGCAATGGGCAGTTGGTTCGTTGGCATGCCGCTTACCAATGTGGACGATCGGGGTTTGGAAGAACGTCCACTTCCATGATTCTGGGCAAACTTCTCACCTGCGACATCACTAGAGGGCTTTTGACCAAAGTGAAGTGTCCTTCCTTCCGCCGCAACAACCCGGTAGGGAACCACTCCCCACACGCTGCGTTCGAGGCGAGTGGGGGGTGAAGATAGCGCCGGAGCCTTTGAAGGTGAATTTCGGGCAGCTGCCGCAGGACGTGTCGGGGAGGTTCGCAGGTGTCCCCTTTTGAGGTGAGTTTGGGATGACGTTGTTTTTTTGCGTTTGTTGCTAGGTCCCCAGTAGTGCCCTTTTACCAACTTTTTTGGGGAGGGTTCCCCTACTAAAATAGACTACCGGAAAAAGTTGGTGCCCTTAGTCTAGCCCCTCCACTGGAGCGAGGTTGGGATGTTGTGGTATGTGTTTTTTCACTGGCGGTGCCTTGTTTTGAGGCCAAGCGCTTGGCGCTGGGCCTGCCATTCTACTAGGAAAAGGGAAACCATGGTGTAAAGCCTCAAAGATACCGAGGGCTTACATACTAATCTTGTTTTGTTGTGTGGCCCTTTGGGGTTTGGCTGAAAGGGAAACCACGGCAAAAACCGAAATTTCCGCGTTGGGGTGATGGTTTTAGAATGATTTACGGATGAGTGGGGGGGATTTGGTGATTTGGGATGATGTTGGTTTGATGGGATGTCTTGGTATGATTGTGGGATGGTTTTGGATGAGGTTAAGAGGTTGGAGTGATATATGTTCGAACGAGCATTTGTTTTTTGGGTGGGAACCCACTTTTTTAGTTGTTGAAAAGGAAACGATAACCACCTTTTTATTGAGGTGGGTCTCAAAAAAAGGAGACACCCCAATTCCTGCCCAGTTGTCCTTTTCTTTGGGCACAGCCATTCCGAGCACCATTCCATCTCGGGAGTTAAGATGGGGGATGAGGGACGCGGGTGTTGCATTGGGGGTGGGTGACTGTTTGCAGGGGTCGATTCCTATGCTTCCCTTTTTGGTGGTTTTAAACATCGCCTTTTTGGCCCAAAAGTGAGTGTCCCTTGGTGGAGGTGATGTTTTAAGCGGAAATAAAGGGATCCCTGTTTCGGATGTGTTTTTGAGAGGGTGGTGAGCCTTGATCCATCAACCAACCATGACCCGTCCTTTGCCCAATCCACTGAGGGTCTGGGATGGTGGTGTTTGCCAAGTTGAAGCTTGGAGTTTGTTGCCATTTGGGTGTGGGTCAAAATTTCCTACCACCAGGAATTGGAGCGCAGGTTTGAATGTCCAGTGACCCACAGCCATTCGCCGGCCAAGGGAAGCGCAGCGACATGAAAAATCTCACTGTTTCACAGCTGCTGCGCGGGGTGTTACTTCCTCCAGGTCGTTTTTGGTCGGACCTCAAGTGAGCCACGTGCTCAAAACCAATTCGGGTAGATGGTTCGCTTAGTAAGGGACGATCCCCTTGCCAGAAATAGCTGCGGATATCCGCCTTCTTCATCCTGTACGTGGTTCTGGGAAGACCATTTTAGTACCAGGTTTTGATTGCGACTCAAGTGGCAGACCTCAGCCGGGCCCAAATGGCAGCTGTTGCTTGCTGCTTTGACAGGGGAAGGAGAAATGCAATGACACCTACAAACAATCCCCTATGGGTTTCCACCAAAACCGGTTCATTCCACCAGCACCCGGTCTCGGTCATTCCCTGCTTGTCGCACCAGCAAGTTTGAGACCGAACTCCAGCAACCCCTTTCAGAGCCCTGCGAGATGGCTTGCACCAGCGCCTTTGTGACGGGAAAAGTAGTAATTAAATGGAATGCCCCGGGCTATGGTCCATTGTTTGAAAGGGAAACCATTATTATGGGGTCCCCTAAACAAGATCCACACCCATTTGCGAGAAATCAATCCGCAAGATCCTCCTTCCAGATGCCAATGCTGTACCCTGTCGTAGTGGTGTCCCAATACGAGTTAGGATTAGGATCCCACCCACATGTTGAGCATCCCAGACTCAGATTGTTTGTTGAGGAACCGCTATATATATATATATATATTTATACACATACATATATACATATATATATATATATATACTGTGGATGGACGCAATCCTGCACCACAAAATGAAGCCATGGTTGAAGCCATTATTAGTTGGCATTTACAGGCGGAATCGACTCATCAACCAGGGTTTCTGAACGTTGGTGCGAAATAGGTTTCGTCCCTCCACAGCAGGTTTGTTTGTAACCCCGTGCTTCCAGTTTCCAGAAGCACTGGGTAAGGGGGATGCTAAATCCCAAAATGGGCGGGTGACCTGGGCAAGGATCTTTTCAGGCAGAGGGAGACTGGTTCAAGGGAACTAAAGCTAACCGCTTATAGCTCCTGGCCCTTCCCGTCGCGCAGGAGCCGGTTTACTTCGACCAGGAGGCCGAGGACTATTTCCGGAAGCTGCGCCTGGTCAAGGCTTTAGACCCGGGAGGGTACTTGGGTTCGGCCCACTGCACTTTTCTTGGCTGTAGGTGTTTTGCCATACGCGCAGTGTCTGTTCGACGCGATGTATTGGGAGGGGGAAAGGGTGCCAGGCACGTTCGCTCTGGCGTGTTCACGAGAATCGACAGAATCAGAGACTCGGTTTGCGGAGAGAAAAAAAGGCCCCAAACACAAGCTAAGTCACTTCACAGATTCTCTGACACTAGAATTGATTGGTATGCCCCACAAGACTCACACGACCCAGAAGACAGTGGTCGGTTCCCAGACTCCGCCCACCCCAAAAACGGGGAATCCGCGTGGCTTCCGATGGCCGCTTTCCTCTTCCGAATCCCTTTCTCGGGGTGACAAAACGGATTTTCGAAGAGGGAGAGACTCAGTTGATTGGTGTCCCATGTTGGTCCAGTTCGTCTACCTGGAGTCTCCATGGCCCCGAGAAAAAGGGGTTCATGACCCCCATTCTTTGGGGTAAGTACCCCATTTTAAGGGTCATGGAGACGCCAATTTTATGTCTTTTTGTCAGGCCACGGTGGACGAAATAAAGACGCGGCACTCACTTCCTTCATTCCTTGCCACTTGCCCACCATTATTTCCGAGATGATTTGCTAGATCCTGGATGGATGCAATCAGCTTTTGTTTCCAGGTCCTTTGCGCAAGTGTGTACCTCTTAGTTCTTTGTGGTTGCCAGGGTTTGCTTCAACATAGCTCCGTAGGTCCCAAGACTCGAGTCGACCATTTTGGTGGCAACCAAACTGTCGTTCGAACTTTTTTGGGGCCCTCGACTCAAGTGAGAATTCCCATCACTCGGTCCAGAGGTCCTTTTTAAAGTTGGCAGGGAGCTGCCTCTCGTTCTTGGGGATGGCTTACATCGGCCGGCCGCTCTCCCCACTCCGATGTTGAGTGAGCTCATCGCCGGCTTTCTCACGACATCCCCGGTTCTCTTGGGGATTTCGCCGAATGTTGATATGTTGAGACGGACTATGATTGCAAGATAGTGGCTTGCGTGAATGGCAAAGCTGATGCCTTCTTGGCAGCCGTATAATTTTCAGACCTTCCGAGCTGGTGGAGTATCTTGGTATCTTGTGCCTTGTAGCGGGGCTGCTTTCTTAGACCTAAAGGACCGACCCCCCTGGCCTTCATGGGCGCTGAAGAATTACCTAGAGTCTCCTGACCCCTAGAAAAAGGGGTCATAAGCCCTTATTTTTGGGTAGTGACCAAACATTTTTTAAGGGTCAGAAGGAGACTCCAGGTAGCAACCATGGGTTTTCCCGCACCAAAACGAGATTGTGGTATTTTCGCTATTTTTTCCGACCCCTTGAATTTGCACCCTTGACTTGTGGTTTTGGTGGTTTACCAAGGTTCAAAACTCGCGGCTTCGAAAGGGGCTTCCAGATTGGTAAATGGGACCACGCCTCCACGGGGTTCCAACTGGAAGGAAGCTTGGGGGGTTTTCCGCCAATGGGCGTCCTCGAAATCTGTTGGGCTAAAAGAGAATCGCCCCGAAAAAGACCTCAGTGCAATTTGTCTCCCATTCAACACACCCAGGTAGCTTCCCTTGGTTTTTTGCGATCCCCTGCGTTTCCCTTCGTTTCCCCAGGTCCTGGTCTCTTTTGGTGGTTTGCTTGCTCTAACGGCTTGGGAAGCACTGGAAGCGGCTGGAATGCATCCAAAGACGCACCGTCCCCGAGGCCAAGCAGCACATGCTTTGCGCTTTCTAGAGCGTTTCCTTTCAACCAACAGCAGGGCGCGCCTCCTACTACTACTACCCACTTACCCACCTACCCACCTCCCTACCTACCTGCCTGCCCTACCTCCCCTCCCCTCCCCACCTACGGCTACACCCACCGTGCCACCTCCGCCCGCCGCCCGCCGAAGCCTTCGGCACCCGGAGTCCCCGCCGGATCCAAGGCAGGCGCCGCCGCAGAGTTTGGAGGTCTTCACCTCCCAGGGCCTCCGACCCTGGCCCCAGGCGCACCGAAGAGACCGAAACCGACGACTCGGACCGACTCGGCCCCAAAAATCAAAAACAAGAATGACCCCGAAAAACTCCTCCCCCCCCCGCCCGCCCTGCCCCAAATTGATGCCCGTTTTCACCCTAAATTGGTGGTACCTGTTGGTTGTCCCTAAGCCGAGAAAAGAAGGGGTACCCGGCGAGGAATGATGTGCTCACTCCCTGAGTTCCTGGATTTTGTATGCTTTGGTGGATTAATTCTTGTGTGGTGCCAGAGTAATTCGCACACAGGTGCTGGACTTTAGACACCTTTTTTGTTCTGGACTTTAGTCACTTTTAGTCACAGATTTGTTTTTGGCGAATCAACTCAAGAAGTGAGTAAAGGACATGAGAAGCAGTCAAAAGATGGGTGGATTAAGCATAATCCCAGGCAGAAATGGGTGCGGATAGCCGCGCGTTTCATTCTATACATAGCTTTGGATAGACCATTGGCATTGCCAAGTTTTGAGCATAATTGTACCTTTGACCTCGTAGCGAATCCCCCGGTCATCGTGGTATCTGGAGGCAGCGGGCTGAAACTTCAAGCCATTGAGCACGAAGCTTGTTTGCTTGCTTCCGATGGCTTAAAGGCTGACACCATTCAACACAAACCTGGAGTCTCCATGACCCTTAAAAGATGGGGTCATTACCCAAAATAATGGGGTCATGAACCCATGTTTGAAGGGTCATGGATACTCCAGGAAGCTGCTTTTCCCAGTTTCTCTTACTCAAATAATTAGCTTGCAACTGGAATCGCTACTTGGGTGTTCGGGCCGTGGTAAGTAGGTCATGACCTACTTAAAGCCAGGCAGAAGTTGGTTCTAGCCTGCACTGGTCCAAGCACCTTTTGAGGATGTAGCTGGACCCGTTTTTACCCACATCCGAAGGTGCTTGGACCTCCGTTTGGGACTTCAGTCACTTTCTTGGTTTGGACCATTGAAGCGGTAAACAGACGGTTTGTCGACGCTTTTCGGCCAGTCCACTCGATCGGAGAGACCCAAGCCCAGCTGACCGTCCAGTGGCGTTGCGCCAGGTTTGGACCCGGCCCAAAGAGTGCATCTCCTTGGCGAATGGCCTGGATCGATTCGATCGAGTCGATGCGACAAGGGGGAAGGGGTGTGGAAGGCCGGAAAGGCGCGTGAATAACGCCAGGTTGCCCAAGTTCCCGCATTTTTTCCCTTTGTGGAAGACCATATTGGGGGGTAAATACAAAAGTATGGAGGGTTTTTGTGGCCGGGGTTCTACTGTCCTGATTTTGGCATATGAGGGGTCATCAAAGTCAGACATTGTGTTTGTTTCACTTGAGCCCAACACTTGGAAGGGAGACATTGATAATGGTAAGATAAGTTTGCTGGGTCTGCCTGGTTCAAGTAGATCGAAAAACCTTTACCACCCCCCCTTGCCAACATAGCACCCCACAACAAGGGCCCTTTCAGCAGGAATTTCGTCATCCGGGTACCCTCAAGCAGACCAGCTTGGAGTCAAGGATTGGGAAGGCTTCGTTTAACTACAAATCGGGCCAGCCTACCTGGTTGAGGGGTGATAAGCTTCAACTGTGTTTTGCTTTTTTGGGCATTATGTGTTGTATCTCTTTGCTAGGCTGCACTATGGGGGGCGTGCGTTTTGGGGACCACCCCAACTGGTGTTCTTATTAGAACTAACCGATCCATGTAGGCAACCGGTTGTCTAAAGCTTCCATTTGCTTAAGAATATGTGTTTTATTTTCCCCGGTTGAATTTATCACTACTGGACATTTTCTCCAGGGGTCTTAACCAAATGGAAGAAAGCCAAATGTTTCTGAAAAGTTCGGCCGTCTCTGACCAAGGTCATTGGGACTTCCGGGCCTGACATTGGCATGTCTCAACGGAACATCTCCAAGGTGGTTGGTGTGCTCTTGGTTTTCCTTCTGAAGCCCAACAAAGGAGGTCCTCAACAACCAACACACGCACACACACACACACACACACACACACACACACACACACACACACATGTGGCCCCATAGCCGCTATCGCCACGTTGGCACCCTAAATTGACGTCTACCAGAACACACACACACACACATACACACATACACACATACGCGCCAAGTGCGGGCTTCATGGGCCGTGGCAAAAGCCCGAAACCTTGGGGCGTTTGGCAAACGGTTCCGTCCAGTTTTGGGGCAATGCTGTGGCTGACCCGTGGTCTTTAAATGCGCGTGTACCTTTAGGGAGCCCCCCTTCAACATCCAAAGAATCGCTCCTTTGTTCCGCATGTACCGCAGGTTTTACTGGAGCCTCCCGTCAGTAGCAAGCCGCGACATTCTGCCAACGAGTTGAAGAGGTTGCACCTCAACTGTCGACAAAATGGCACGCTTCATCAAATTGGCCGATGATGATTGTGGTTCGCAACTTGAAATGTTTCCAGGTAAAGGTGCGGTCACAAGCCAAAACCTTGTTAGGTCCCTCGATTTTGCCCAGATTGTCGGGTACCACAAGATTTGCCTTGCCATTCGGATGTCGCCTATGATCACATTCTTGCCTCGATGCTTTAGAAGAACACACCCGTGTTTTCCTTGTAGCTGAACAGCTGCGTAAAATTGAGCTAAAATGGAATGAAGCAGCATCACCATGTTTGTTTTGAATAGTTATGATACTATGAATAATTATCAAACTAGTACTAGAAGCACTAATAATACCAGCACTTCTAATAGTAATCACAACAGCAAATAACAGCAATACTGGCCGTAACAACATGGTAATCTGTATTTGTTTGGTTTTTTTGGGGGGTATGCCGTGTCGCTATTCCATGACTTGTTGAGCCTCGAGCTCAAGGATCGCTGGGTGATCTTTGCCCCCGCGGCTCAGGAGGACCGAGCCGAGCATGCGCCAAGCTCCGGGGTTGAGACGAAAAATCTTCGGACCCATTTGCTCCGGTGTTGGTTTACCAACCTTTTGGAAATAAGGGAATCTATCATTTTTGCTGGTCAAGTGAAACCAAGCTTCCATTTCAGTGTCATTGAGAATCCTCACTGCAGCATGGCACCTGACAAGGAAAAGGTCCCTCCAAGAGGAGGTTGATCTTCCAAGTACCCTCCCACAGTTGCTATGTTAGTGGGAGAAATGAATATGTTTTTTTTTTTTTACCCTGGTTTTAAAGGGAATCGATTTCACTGGACATATGTTTTAATGTTGTTTCCAGTGGACTTGAGCAATGGACGTCTTAGGCTCCCCCGGTTCTCAGCTGGGTGACCCCGAGAAAAAACCATCCAACTGGTGATTTCCCTTTTCTTTTCCGGGGATGCCCCAAACTCCTTCATTCAACCTAGGTCCCCCAGTACCCCTTTTTTGGGTACTGAAATAGACGACAGAAAAAAGGTCTGCACCCTGATTCTAACCTCTCTACTGGAGGACCTAGCCTTCATTCCACCAACCTGTTGCTTCCATGAGCACCAGCCGACAAAAGGCCAAAGGAAACGAAAGCTTCGACCCGGAGGACCATGTGCAACGCTTCATCGCCGAGATCGAGCCGCGGCTTGGACCGGCTGGAAGGGACGCCAGGGGCAAAAAGGTCCGAGAAACATGGGACCACTAGGAAAAAAACAAGAACTGGTTGATCAAAAGGTCCAACATACATGGGAAGATCCGGGATGGGGTAACCAACAAAAATTATATTTCCCCACTAAATGCCATCGTGATTTGGGGGTCGAAGGGAATATTGATTGTGCAAAGAGCTGTAATGTTTGTTTGGCATGTGGAAAACCAATGGGTAGAACACGTCAAGTGTTCTGTTGTTTGGTTGTTTTTGTTTTTGTGTTTTGTTTTTTTTGGGGGGGGGGGGGAGGGGTTGGGCGGGTCTCCCCTGGAATTCCCAACATTTCGCTGCGTAAACTCAAGAAAAAGGCATGCGTCGGCTTTGGGGCATGGCTTCTCTATGCGTTCAGACGTGGTTGGCAGAGCTCCGAAAGAATTCAAGGGTCGTTTTTGTTGGTTTCTCTAGGAACATGCCGTCAATGAGACCTCCGGCTTCCCTAACCCTGACAGGGGCGTCCTGGTTTTCAGCGAACGGGCCCACCGCATTCCAAATTTTTCACTCTTGGCGCCAGCCCCAAACTTTGGGAGGCAGCTTGGAGCAGATTTTTGGGGGGAGAGGTAGTGTGGAACCCAACTTCTTTTTTTTGGAGCCAGTTCCATACAAACACCCAAGCCTCTAGGGGTACCTTCCATTTCCATTCTCTCCCGGGATCCGAATCTTTCTGGAAAGCCTCCGGAAGCCCGGGGAAAACGGATCCGGTTTTTAGAAAGAAGGAGGGTTAAGACTGGAAAAGGCATTTCAACCCCTAGAGCTTCCATCAAACAAGCGAGAGTTTCCAGCAGGCGAGCGGGTCATTTCAAAAAATTGGGAGTTGATGAAAAGGTCCGTTACATGACCATGGTGGTTTTCCAAAGAAGATATTTCAACCACATGGTGGCAAAACTACCCCACGGTCAAAACGGCGGGCCCATGGAACATAGATCAGGCTTTGGCCCGCTTTCAGGTAGCAGTTGTTTCGACGCCTGTCCATGGGCATCCCCAAAGCGGTGATTCGGATTCCCCAAAAGTTATTTTCGACCTTCGGAGCTGGGGTCCAAAGTCGGGATCCTGTCTTTTGGCAACCCTTGGGTGTGTGTGTGTGTGTTTGCTAATTTGAAGGTATACATGGGTTGTAAAAGGACACCCAAAAGAACACCAACTTGGGGCGCACATCGTGGCCGTCTTCAATTTATGTGTTCGCGCAGTTTGTGAGTTGTGCGCGATTGGCAAAGCCTGCATCGCGAAAGGCCGGTGATTGGGCCGCGGTTGGGGTAACATTTAGTGATTGGAGGGTTTCGGAAACTGTAAAAAAATGGTGAACCCCCACATACCCCGTGGGACATGCCCATTGGGACATGGCCAAGTGTCCATTCAGCATCGCATTCCACGAACGAACATTGCGAGGTATGGAACCTCTCTGTGACGGTGTCTCATGAGATGTTCCCATCTGAGCCACTTGTTCAAAACCAATTCGGGTAATCCCGTTGCCATAAATAGCTGCCGGGTTTTGATTGTGACTCATCTGAGGCGGACTTTATGATCGGATCAAGCTTCAGCAAGACGTATCTGTTCCCAGTTGTCCCTGACAACACTCTGGAGATTGGGGTTGGGACGCCTTCACGCATGCTGCGGTCAACACGAGGGAGCTCTTTAGGGTAGACTTGATGCGGAACATGTCTCCCTTCATCCTGTATCGCCATTGTAGCACAGGATGTGTCACCCTTTCTTCAAACCTGCCATCAACGAAAGACAGGCTTATCACGGACTGATTGCTTGCAGGTTTCAGGCTGTGACCCGTTACCCATCATAAAACATAGTCATTTTCATAAGAGAGCGAGAGAGAGCAAGAAACAAATTAAATGCCAAAATATCATAAGGCTCGGCTGCGTGCAGCCTATGCTCAGGTTGGTGGGTGAGCTCCTGGACAATTGCAAGGACCAGAGAGAGGGGCCGAGTTACCCTCCCACCCCCCAGAATGCACCAGAGGGCCCGCGTGCTCCGGCCCCAACGTGCTCCTGTCAGCTTCCATGTTGGTGGCTGGGAAGGTACGGTGAATGCCCTCAAGTAGGCTGATCGCATCCATCCACCAAACCATGCAACAATGTTTCAAGTGGTCCATCATGCTTTTTGTTTTTACATTTTTGCTTATTGTGGTTTAGTGAGAAACTGCTAAAATTTAAATTTCAACGGCAACCAAGCCATTGCCTCAGAGCGTATTTGCTTAGCTGCTGGGGTGTTTTTATGAGGCAGAGTCCCAACCCATCCGGCTGAACTTACTTATAAGACATCTCTGTCTTTTTGACTGGGGTCCCGGTGGGAATCCGAAGACTGAAAAACGACAACAGGGTTTATAACCTGAATAGTGTGTTCCCCATGTCCCCCTCCAACATCACCCCGCCAAAAGCAATTCCCAAAGCCTTGATATCCTTCTTCCCTGAAGGTCCTTTGCTCCTCACTTTTTCCCTGTCTTTCCCCTCCAAATCAACACAACAAAATTGGTGTCCTTTCCCCCTGCTCCTTTTTGCTGACTTTCCATTACCAAAAGGAAGTCTGTTGATTTGTCCTTCCTTTGGCTGACTTCCCCCCCTTACATCAACCAATCCCCCCCCCCAGCAAACAGAAAGAAGAAACACAAGTCCCTGTAGGTCTTTTCTTTTTGCTGACCTCCCCGGTTCAAAATCAACCACCCCCCCCCCCAAAAAAAAAAAGAACAGAAGAAGACGACAAAGCACAAGTAAATCCCCCCCCCCCAAAAAAAAAGAAAAGTAAATGTCCCCCCCCCCCTCAAAAAAAAGGAAAAAAACAAGAAACGAGTAAATAACCCCCCCCCCCCTGTGGGTCCTCTTTGGGTGAAAAAAAAGCTCTGCCCGAGGCCCGCTCCGATTTTCTTTTCAGGATCTCCGCGTGGCCAGGCCGGAGGCTGTGAGCATCTCTGCTGCTCTGCTGCAATCTGGTCTTCCAGTCCGGCTTCGTCGGGTTGGGGCGGTTGGGGTTTTGCCACGCCCATGTCCTTCCATTTGCTGAAAAGAATACGTGTTTCATTTTGTCCTGCTGGTTGTAAAGGGAATCTATCGCTGGAAATATGGGTATTTTTTCCAGGCTTAAGCAAATGGAAGTGATGGTCGAAAGTGGTGGAACGCCCAGCCCGGTTCCTGAGGTGTGAAAAGTTGCTTTTTAGTTGGCTTAGTGACGTTTTTTAGAGGTGTTTAGTTGGTTTGGTGGTGCTTTTTAGAGATGTTTAGTTTGTTAGCTTTTAGAGGTGTTTAGTTGGTTTAGTGGTGCTTTTTCGAGGTGTTTAGTAGGTTTGGTGGTGCTTTTAAAGGTGTTTAGTTGGTTTAGTGTTTGGCGGTTGGGTTTCCATTCAACCTACCTTGGTCTTGTTGTGGCTTTAAGTTGGTTTAGTGGTAGAGCCTAGGGATGGCCTTCAACCAACCTCAAAATGTGTATACTACCCTAGGGTTTTCAGCACATTTTAAAAGCGCCCCCCAAATCTAACATAAAAGTTCATACATAAATTCTTGAAATTCCTATCCGCTCGCCAAATGCTTTGAGTTATCCATTTTGATGAATAACTTAAACCATTTCAAACATCTTTAACCTCATTCTTTTCTATATTTTCTTTGTGCCTGTAAGTCCGTTCGTGCTTTGGTTTATGTGTCCTTTTTATATCACAATTACACACATCGCAATGATACACAACTTGGCTTTTCCTTTTGTCCTTTTCACGGCACTTATCACAACGTTTATAGGGTTCAGTGAATAAGTTCACATCCTTATCTCTTTGACAACTAGAGCAATATTTCTTTTCCATAACCTCTACTACACTATACCAACAACCCTTTAAACCCTTTTTACTCAGATAGGTTGAAGGTTCAGGCAACGAAGTTGCCTAAGAGGTTTGATAAATCAAACCTATCCCCTTATTCAAAAACCCCCAACAACAAAGAAACATAACCAAAAACCAAACAAGGAACAGAACACAGAACATTCCAAAACAACCAACCAACAGAACTTTCCAAAGCTTCTTTTCAAAGAGCATATACTATAATTTTAACATTTCATGTCTCAATAATAATTTTGGATAATCACTAACTGAATAATATTTTTGCCCTAATTTCGTGTCTATCTTTTCCACTGTATGGACTGATTTTAACCAGTGGGAAGTCTGTTGCTTTTCCGCTATTCCTTTTTTCCTCCTGATTTTAACTTTGTCTCCAACATGTAAATCTGGATATGTGCGGGAATGTTTCGCTTTCATGGATATATTTAGTTTTACTTCAAATTCATTCTTTTTGAGTTTTGCTTGTGCTGGTATAAAGCCGGTTGTTGAATGGACTAATTTATTATTATATGTCAATAAAATTTCAAATATGTAGTCGCGCCAATCAATATCTGTTTTGCCTTTCTTTTCATCTGCTTCAACTCTGCTATATAACATTCTTTTAAAGGTCTTGATTGCTACTTCACTGAACGCTGCGTGGTTTCTTGTTGTGTAATGCTCTATGCCTTTTTCCTTCAAATAATTTTGTATTGATTTTGTATTTAAAGCGCTTTCATCATCCGTAAATAATAATTTACAAAATCCACCCATCTTTTTAAATCCTTCAATCAAAGCCATTGCTACATCACCTTCACTTTTGCTTTGAATAGGTATTACAGTCATTGCCTTACTGAAAATATCTATCATTAAAGCACCGACCTTCATTTTCTGGCTGGGAATGTCATTTATGAAGAACAAATCAAACTGAAACTCATAAAATGCTTCTTTTGGCACAAATGAATTCTGCCCTCTTGGTTTTGTTTTGATTTCTATATTTTTATTAAACCAATCATCTACATCTGATTTAGTAATTGATTTATCTTTTTCTCTTGCCTCTGCTAATGTTCTGCTTTTAGACCCATAACCTGCTTTATCGTAATATACATTTGCTATAAGTTCTTGTTTAGATGCCATATAAATAAACAAGAAATTATTAATCTAATTCTTCTAATGGTTCTTGTTGTTCTTGTTGCTGGTTTAACCACTGTTGATGTTTTCTTGTTTTTTCATGTCTTCGCAAATGATGCTTACGAAGGACGGTGCCACATGAACATACCACATTCACTTTCTGTTGCTCTAAAATCTGCTCTTTGTTTTGGTGGTATCGCTCCCTCTGTGCATGATTGTATTTTTCTTTGTTTTGTTCATATCTTTGTTTGTTTTTCAGCAATTGTTCCTCTTTGTTGTTTTTGTAATACTCTCGCGATTGTTCATTGTGGCGCTCTTTGTTTTCCTTATACCATTGCTGTTTATAGAGTTTTGTCTCGTCCTTGTGCGTCTCGTAATATTGTTTTCGTATTGCATCACACTGTTCTTTGTTGTTGTTATAGTAGTTTTTTGATTTCTGTTTCAAGTGTTCTTGGTGGTCTATATAATATTGCTTACCACCACGCCCTGCTACATTTTTATTCACACATTCTAAACTACAAATATATTCACCTTCTCTTTTCAACAACTCTTCTTTTGAATTGCAAGCAAAGTTTTCTATCAAGAGTATTCTACAATTCTCTATTCCAAATTCATGAAGAATTCTGACGGATGTCGGATAGGTTCTTTCTTTTCCTTGGCAATATTCTTTATAGTCCTTTCTATGCCTTTCCATTCGCTTACTCAAAGTTTCACAAGTGCTACCGATATATGTTTTATTGAAACCAACATCACAAATCTTGTATATTTTACCGTTTTGATACCTATTCATACCTCTAATTACCTATAAAATCTTTTCTTTAAACCTTTTTAATGCGCCGACACATTACAATATACACAAAATGAAGTTGAATTTTCTATATGGTGAGCAATTGAATTATCAAGACGCTGACAAGTAAAATTACTACACAATTTACCTTGTTTAGTTTCAAAGTTAAATGGTGTATTACACATTTGGCATCTACCTTTAAATTGAGTTAAACACCATTCGGCAGTTATGTATTCCTCTTCATTGATTTCTCTCTTTGCTTTCCTATCCTGTATTTTATAATTTTCTACTTTATTCTTAAAATATCTCATTATCATATTTTTATTCAATTGCTTTTCAAAGTCATCGTTCTTGAAAAATCTGACTTTTCTGAAATCAACGCACCTTGTAATAGAAGTCCAAATCCACTCCCTGCTTACAAACGGTAAAGAATGCTCATGAATTGTCATGCTTTCTTTCACACTTGCACCCTGTGAAGAATGGCATGTTGCACAATATGAATAAATGAAATTAGCATCTACAAAAGGTTCAAACAACATAAATTTATCTTCTTCATTTGCTATGTTTTGCAATGTTATTTGCTTCCCTAATTCGTCATTTTCAATCATAACTATTATATACCTTAAATTTACATTGACCCTCGGCTTTTTTATCCATTTTCTGGCAATCAGAATATCACCTACTACATATTTGGCATTTATGTTTAATCTGTCTCTGATTTCACTTGCTACATTTCTACACCGAATATTAGTGTATGCTATGTTATGTTCCGAAGCCATTATATCATCAGTAATCTCAAAGTATTTAGGTATTATTTCATTGATAGGCAGTTTCTTTTCCCAGAAGTCATCATACATATCATTAATTATCTTCCTGTTTCTTTCTCCTTCTTCGCTATCTTTTGCTCCTACTCTCTTACATACTGTTAAAAAGATGTTGTATTTAAAAATTGTATCTAAGCAATTATCCATATATGTTGCCGGGTCTTGGCAGTTGGTCATTGCTTCCACCCCTTGCAATTGCTTGACGTCGCCCGTGGCAATTACAATTTTATCAGGATTATTTTGAATAAATAACCTTACATTATTAAGAACATACAAATTTGACATATAGATTTCATCAAATACAATCACATCATAAGGTGAGTAATCATACTGTGGCAATTTCTCTCCGACATCTTCATGAACGGCAATGCTAAAAAACTTATTGTAAGTGGTGGCTTCTACTTCTTTTTCTTGTAAAAGCCGGTTAGTTGGAACTACAAATAAAACATTCTTATTCATCTTTTGAAAGTATTCGCCAATATAACTTTTGCCTGTGCCCGGGAATTTACCTTTTATAATCACTGGGTTTTGTTTAATAATCTTCTTACATATTTCTTCTGTATTCCATTCATCTTGAACATCAATATTGAAATTTCTGATTTTAGGTATTTCTGGAACTTCATTATATTTATATGTATATGAGTTGGTAGGTAGTTGGATATGTTTTTTATCTTCTATCCTCCAATCGCCTATCTCATTACCACATTTCAGCAGTCCATTGCTTCTTCCAAATAATTGAAAACGAAAAACTTTATCTAAATCATCTTCATGAATAGTGAAGGCATCTGTTTTAACACTATACACCTTGACATTATTATCAGTCATTGTTTTGTAGGCTTCATACATTTTGAAATTATGATATTGCAATAGCAATTCTTTGATATAGATAAATCCGTTAGTTAAAACTTTTTTGTCAGCAACATTCAACACATAGTATGTTTCACCAACAGGAGATTCTTCTAATTGAGAGCTATCTTCATCTACTTCTACCAATTCCAATTGGCACTTGCTGATAGTGTAAATCTTGCCACCATATAGGCTATGGTAGTAACAGGCTTCTTTCAATGAACTAAATACACTGCTTTTTTGCGAAGTGTTATGCGATTTTTCAAGCATACCAGCGCTAATGTTAAATATTTTCTTATGGAGTTGCTTATTCAGGTCTTCGTTATCAGACAGTTTTGTATCATACAGTTCATCAATTATTTTTTTGTAATTTACTTTATATACATGGTTAGGTTGCTTATACCATAATATTTTTAATTTTACATTATGTTTAATTAACTGGTTTAAAAACTTTCCATACACCAAGTTATATTTTTTATTGAAAAAGATGTTGCCCTCATACACTTCCACAATGTATAAAGTCAAACTG